TATGTAATATAAACATATGACCGTGATAAATATGATTTAAATGGATACTCACCACATGCCTTATCCCCACAAACCACACAAATATCTGTCCACTCTGTTTGATCCATTATACAATTTATTAAATTTTTACAATACTTAGCATTTAACACAATTTATTTAAAAATATGTTAACAAATATAATAATTTCGATTATTTATGAAATCTAAGTTTGCAATAAATCCTTGGTAACGAGAATTAATTATTTATGTTCATAAAGTACACACTTTTTATTTAGTAATTCTTTAATAATACTAATATTAATATAATAATACATTGATATTCACCATACGAATTGAGAAACACAAGATAATAATTCTTAAAAATTCTAATACAGCATTGTGTAATTATTAGTAGGTTCATTGTGTAACTTTTATACATAATACAGTATATGGGTGCATTCGCATATTTAAGTGCTAAACTAGTGCGCCCACAAACTAATAACTTCATTAATAGGCAATATTTATAACATTATTTCCTCATAATATGTTAATTAGTTACAAACAAATGAGTGCAAATATATGAACAATGTGTGCACAGTAATGTTATTTTCAAGAATTTGCAATAGCTCACAATAATACCTTACTATAGAATAAGCTACTATAGAATACATTATTTACAATTAATGTAAATAAATTAATGACTTTAACCGTTTAAATCAATTATAAAAAATAACTTATAGAGGTCATGGATCTCTCTATAAAGTGGTCCCTTAAATAAAGTACCTTGCTGTATATATAGACATCTTTTACAACAACTTCATTCAAAGATCTGAATACTTGAAAATATTGTAATAAATAAATTAACCTTGATTTGGTCTCATCTAGGGACAGGTGTTTCAATTACAAATAGCGTGGTAATAAAAATACAAAAATATGCACCCAAATATCTACTGTACACCAAAATTCACTGGAAATATAATACAGTGCAATATCTAAAAATCATTAGATTATCTTTACTGGGTTAAATAAACTTTTAACATATTTTATAAATTATAATAAATAATAAATATTTTCTGATTGAAACAAGTTATCGATTCTTTGATTTCGAGCAAACAAATTGAAAATAAATAAGTAATTATGAGAAAGTGATTCATAAAAATGAAAATAAAATTATTAATTTTAACAAATATAAATTAATGAGTTTTATGTAGTAAATAACAGGGTCACTTTATAAGTCATGGATCTCTTTATAAAGTGGTCCCATGAATCTCGTTCCGTATTCATAGAATTCTTTGACAATCATTTGGTTCAAAAATTTCAAAACTTTAAAACTTTTTAATAATTTGATAAGTCGTGAGTAGCTCTCATCAATGGATTGGTATTTCAGTTGTAAATAGCGTTGCAATAAATATATATAAATGTGTTGTTGGAGTCTATAAAACAAACACTAATTAATTAATGTAAATATTTTTATTATTATTAACACTTACTTAACCACTTCCTTATATTTAAGGTTTGGGCGGTTAGGGTTAAACAGTGCTATGACTATCATCTAATGTAATTAAAAATGGCAATATTATGCAACAATTTACATTTATCATATATCATAGAAATCAATTATTAATACCAGGTCCATAATAGCAGGGTCACAATTCCAATGTGGAATGAATTGGTCAATAAATTGTCCATATACTTCATAAATATGTGATTTAGTTTCCCTAATAAG